GATGCAATCTTGTCCCTTTAGAGGCTGCAGGAATGTCTTCTAACTTATAGTATGACTTGGGAATTCAACACTAGAAAGGAGACCCCCCCAGCACATACATTTGTGAAACTGTCAAAAGGAGTGTATGGAAAGGAAAAAAAAATGCTTTCTTAAGTTCATGTGAGATGGGAGAAAGGGAACAAGCTTTTGTGGAGATTAAAAGGTATGAAGTACACCTCAAGTTGAATGTACAAAATAGTCTTAAAGCATTTCTGTTTAACTTCAACAAAACCGTTCTCCAGAATCATTTGGCTTAATTGATTGGTGTGGCACTAGAGGGACAACTGAGAGTTAAGCTGGCAGCTGCTGGTTCAGTGTCACACTAATTGGGAGTAAGGTAACAACCAGTTGCTAAAGCTCTGTTCTGTACATAGTGTGGCAAGGAGTGGGGTCTCAGCAGTCCATGTGGTAGGAATGCTGACGTGGGGCAGAGGGTGGTTTCCTAAGCTGACAGGTTGCAGAATGATAGCAGGACTTGGTTTAAATTAATCTTCTTGAGAAGAGAATTGCTATGCACTTTAGTCTCTAAAATGTAATGAACATTTAATACTAATATCACATTTAAAGATACTGTACATATAGTATCAAAAATATCTAATAATTGATGAATCAGACAACATATTAATAAATGAACCATATGGTATATCAATAATATCTCTTACTGAGAAGTCCTACAGGGCCTACATATTACTGCATTCTCGCTTGATCATAGGTTTGCGTTAAGGGAAAAAGGAGTAATCAAGGAGTTACAGTGACAGATATTTAGCTATAGTCTTAGAAACTTCATCTTGAGTTATTTTAACTATTTAAACATTAGCTTAATTCCTTCTCATAGAGAAGCCATTGCATTCCTTCTGGATAATAAAGTGTGTTTTCCTGTTGTTTATGAAGATGATCAAGCCAACAGATTTTCTGGCTGGAGATCCCCCGCAGGGTCTCCCCAGAGTGAAGTGTGGAATGGTTATGAGCTGAAGCTCAAAGCTCCCATAGGTAGAATCATGTATCTTGGCAAAGCAAGGGAGCTCACTAGATGGTAGGTACCATCACCTCACTGTGGGGAATTTTCAGATGTGTTGAGGCAACTGTAAGAGTTGCAAGGGTAGGACTACTCTATATCACTGTTTCAAAGACTGACAATATTATTTCCATGCTTCTTATAAAATAACAGATGTAGATGCTCAGCACGCTGTACATGTAAACGTGTCAGTGAGGATTACTATGACTCTCAGCTAACCTGTGGATGGGGAATTCTGTTAGTCAATGCAGGGCTAGAGAAACTTTGAAGTTCAAGGTCCTAGAGCTCAATTACAAGTGCATTCTGTCTCTCTCTCTGTCTGTCTGTCTTTTCTTCTTTTTCTGAAATACTTTGTTTTGTGTTTTCCTTCCTCCACAGGAGGAAGTTAGCTCTTTGCATGTGTAAAAATTGAATGCTCTAGTACATGTTACTCTAAATAGCTGCTGTTTACTGCCCATTGCTTAAATATCTAAGGCTGATTTTAATAGTCTGGAAGACCTGCATCCCTTCTTCCCAAACCTTCTTGCTGAATGGTTTAAAGAGATAAAGAAGCATCTTGACTTAGGTTTATGTTATCAAGACTGTCTTCTAAAAGCTAAAGGGTGTTGCCACATATCCAACATTTCAGTTTAGAGCATATATAAGCACAGTATGTGAAATTCTAAGTTGACTTTTTTCTTAAAATCAATTCCTACTCTTCACAGCATTGTCCTGGTATCGCATTATATGAAAGTGATGCGATTACCATACCATTATGTTGTGGCAATACAGCATGGTAAAGTGCCATTTTTACACAATGATTTCCATTCTTCTGGACAAGTCTTTAAGAGAGAGATTGTCAACTAATAGAAATCTTGTCACTTCTTTAGAAGCAGCTAAGAATCTTCCTCAAAATACTACTTTTAATGAAATAATGTTACCCATGTCATTAAATAGTGAGTTTTGGAAACTAAATAGTTTAATTTTGAAGAATTGGTACTGGTATTTTGTCTCTGTAGTGAAAAATGTTATATCAACTAAGTTATAGGTACATCTTTCCCGAGCCATTTTCCTGCTCCCTATTATTTCTAAGAGAAGTAAATAATCTTTAAAATTCTAGTTCTGTGGGAGCTTCAGAGCGAAGAGCCTGACATGCAGGGCATTAAGAATGAAAAGAAATACCACAGATCAGTCGAGAAGGCAGCTTCTGTGGTACACTGTTATTGTGCAAAATTTTTTAACACACTAAAATATTTGTTAGAATAAAAGCCCTGGCAAGTTATTTAGTACATTAATGGACAGTCCTGTTTTCACTAATCATTTATTTTTCTGCTAGAATAATGATGTAGTGCTTGTTAAGTAAAAGGAAAGAACATGCAGGATTAGCTGTAGTCACAAGTCAGATAGGCAGTTACTTGTCATATTTTCTTTATTTAAATACACAATGGTTATATACAGTATAACTAAAAAAGAATAGCTTTGACTTGGAGAGCTCTCTTGCCTTAAGGAGAGCACCAGTTACAAACAGAAATATTATTATAACATTTTGGTAGCGTGTATTTGTCAGTTATCTCCAGAACTTCTGAAGATGGTCGTTGTTGTGTGCACAGACTTATAATACCATCTATAATAATGTCATTTCTATGTATGTCCCTGTATCACTGGTGGAGATCCTTGAAACCAGTACCTGAAACCATACTGAACCTGCAGCACATACACTACAGCTGGAACGATGCAGAGAGGATTAGTGTGACTACGAAACAAGGATGATATGCAAAGAGACAAGTTTTGTTAAACTCTCTCAGTTTCTTTTAGTTTATAAAGAAATAATGTTGTTTCTTGTATGTTCAGTCATTCAGATTAGGGACTCTCTTTTGGCCAACAAAACATGAAAGCCTTGACAAACCAATTAGTTATTCAGTTTGTCCTTCAATATTAGGACTGAAAAAAAATGGACATTGTGGTAGGAAAATGGATTTGCTCTTTGGTTATAAGCTGAATTCTGGCCAGGCTTTGTTCCCAAATTTTAGAGTAAACATCCATCTTGCAATTCCATTCATAGCTTCTAGAGTGTTACTTAGGATCATCTCATACTAAGCTGTATCTGTCATGAATATTTATACAAGGTATATCTCAAATACTTTTCCAAAGGTATTTGTGAACTTTTTTTTGCTCAGCAGTTAACCAACTAGTTTATACTACCAGTCACATTTATTAAAAGCTTATAGCACCTTCCATAGTGTGGTTTCCAAATATTTGTCATTCTTCTCTCCTGGATTGTGACCTGTCAGTAACTGTGGGTTTCTTTTACTAATTGCTAAGTAGAATATTTTCTGAGGTCTGTATTAGATTCTGCGGCCCTACATTATGATAGTTTCACTGATTTATAAATATATTATAGGTTATAGGATCTTTTTTTTAAAATTAAAATTTCTGAAAATCTGCATAGTATTTGAAGCTGAAACTCTTTTAAAAGCATATGTATATGTGAAAGTAACTGTAAGACAATTTTAAGGAATAGATACAATGTTGGTGGAACTAATTTTTTTTTAATTCAATTTGCATTCCAATTCCTTTTGATAGCTTTGGTTTTAAGTTTTGAATAATGTGATTTATAATGTATAATTTATACAATGATGCTCCTTTTCCAATAGTTGATAAATGTCACTTGATATATGTTTATTTAATATTTTAAAAAGCTTTGTGTTAAATTTTAAACACTTAAGTTTATATGAGTGTAGATGCATGTGTGTGTCTGTGTGTAACCACCGTTATCTTTAATCTGCTAATCAATTGTACGTACATTTGTTCTCTACTTTTTCTGGCGATTGTCACTCAGGCTCTGATGAAAGAGTTTGGTCAAGAGGGAAAACAAAAGTTCATCTAAATTCTAGCTTGTAATATAACCTTGAAACATAAATTTCCCTTATTTCCATTTACATAAATATCCATTTGATCTGTTTCATAAGACATTATCACTCTCTAAATACAAGAAATTTTGCATGCAATTGTAAGTGTGCAAGTCTTTGCATTCATAAATTCCACACATATATCATATACTTTTTTATCCATGAAAAACATTTGTTCTTTACAAATAATATGATTTGGCAAATTCAGATTCTTGCTAAATGTAGAGGTTGGGAGTTTGGATTATTTGGAGATTTTCAAATCTCAGGGATCTTTCTAGACTCTGTCAATACCAATTTTTACAGCTAGCAAAAGTGCTTTACAGATGCTGATTTTTTGAAGTGGAAGGGTGTTGGTGAGAAGTAACTTGGGTTGAAGTTACTTTCCATTGAAGTATCTTATTGCTAACATCAACTTTCAGTAGGGCCACTGCTGAATAAAGTTCCTTAATTATGCTGAAATGTTCTATGGCTTGATGCTATGCATAATCTCACTTTACCTTATTTCCCTTGTGGCAAAAATTTGATTTCTATTTTGTGGAAGTAAGATGATGGCATTCAAACTTGGAGCTCCTTGTCAGTGTAGCTGTCCATATAGTCCCTGTATAGAGTGACATATTTCTTAGCTTTTCATCATTTTGCTGCAAATAATGTGTACCATCATTCTTACTAAATACGTATACACTTATGAATGACATGGATGACTAAAATGAAAGCAAAGAGCTCAAGCTCTTTGATTTAATTTTTAGCTCATCAAAGGCAGGTAAACTTGTAACATTGTTTATCACGATTTCTTTGGTCAAACCCTCACACTATTGTCATCTAGTATACAACAGCCCTTATGAAATGACAAACACTTTCTTACACTTTTTAATCAATACATTGTGGCATTCTTTTTGCAAATTGCCAATAGTTCTGTCTGTTCTACATTCTTCTGGTCCAGCCCTTATCTTTTCGTAGATCATCTCTGATATAATACAGCAATTTAGCTTTATATATCCTGTCGGGGAGAATATTCCTTTCCCTCATCATTCTTCCTTTATGGTGTGCCTTTTTTTCAGAGTTAAAACGTAAGTGACTTCTTCATTGTTAATTTCCTCTACTATTTTTAAACCTCTTTGATCGAGTCTCTGGCTCTCATCTCCAGCACTCAGCTTCTCTGCTTATGCAAAATGGCTCTTTGATAGTATGCCTGTTACTCTGTCATGTTGTTCAAAATCAACAAATCACAGTGCTGCTGTCTGATTCCTTTTTTATGTTATGGAAGGAGCTGGTTTGACTAACAGCTTCCTATGTTTATTGTACTCCTGCTACTGCTACTATCCCAAAATGTTTCCTAGATCCATATCCATCTATGACATTTTCTGCCCTCTGTTTTTAAAAAGCTTTGCATTGCCATTTTTTGCTTACGCAATGTTGTTTCCCCACCAGGGTTCAGTTCTGTGTCCTCCCTTTCCCTTTCTCCTGTGGCTCCCATTTCCCTACTGTCATTGTTTTCATTAAAAAAAAAAAAAAATTGCAGAAAATGAGTCAAAACTGAATGTTCAGTTGAACGAATTTATTGCAAATCTGAAAAGGAACCTACAGCAATGAAAAATTTAGTATAGCTGGTGAATATTGGTGTTTAACTGTCACGGACCTGATCTGCCAACAGTCTGTACCAGCTGTGTCTGTTGTGCAACTGTGGATGAGACGTGGATTTCTCAAGTCTTCCCAGAGGTTGCAGCTCTTCCAAAGTTTCTCTCATTTCTGCTGAGAATAGACTTAGGGCACTGGAATCATCAGTTCGTATGAATGTATGAAACTTAAACAAAGTGGTAATTCCTGTCTTTTCTAACTATTGCTGAAGCATATAACATTTTTCAGTAATGCTTTTGAACCTGAGAAGGTGCATGTGGAATACTAAGCTGTTGCAAAATTACTGATGTTCTATATGCTCAACCCTCAAAATTGGCCATTACTACCAGGTTATTTGGTATATGTTTCCTTACGTCAGGTAGAATCTCTGAAAATCTCTCTGAATATCAAAAAAGTATTGAAAATAATAATATTTCTTTAGAAAAGTAATCTTTAGAAAAGTGAAGCAAACGAAAAATTAAAAATAGCTGGACAGATCTTACTCTTTTGAATGTGCAAGGGATCAGAACTAATAAAAAGACTGAAAGCATTAGCAAAAGAACAGAAAATGAAAAGCACTTTTTAAACAACATTGGTGTAGAAGTTATGATCATTTTGTAATCAACATGAAGACACTTAATACTTTAAAGAATATTACTGTGGGAGAAACCTTCTTCAGAAAATTAAGATGCAGTGCAGAACACAATTAGCTTTTGAAGCTTAAGATGGCAGCTTGAAGTTCAAAAACAGGCAAGGAAGTTCAAAGAAAATACATAAAGATTTATATTCTAGTAGTTCAAACTCGTAAGACCTGTTGTCATTTAATTGCTAAAGTATCTGTTATAACAGACCTAAATATCTTCAGTATTTGTGAGTTCTTGTGGATAAAACCAAGACCATAAATATCTCTACTTTTAAAAAGAATGTTTGAAAGTCATTTGGTAAAGAGTCGCGGGTCAGGTTTTTTTCATGGGCAGGAACACAGAATGCCCCCAGCAGAGGGCACGGTCTGGGTTGCACAGAAGCAGGACTGTCCTGTGACTTTCCCATTGCAGCCTGGAGGTCAAAATAGATTGGACCACTGGATCTGTAACTACAGATCCAAGCTACAGTCTTTCCGAAGGGACACAGCAGCACAGTGAAATGTAGTAACAGATTACTTCAATCTCTTTCCCATATGAAATATGACAGTGGCTACACCAGCTCAGATCAAAGATTCATTTAACTTAGTATCCTATTGGCAGGCCATAGCTTCTGGCAGTAGCTTGTAGAACTCAGTCTGCTAATGCTTTTTTCCAGGATGCTATCCCACTCTTGGTCACTTTCTTTATGCCTCTTATGATTTTGTAGACTTCTATGACATTCCCATTTACCTGTCAATTTTTTGGGCCAAGAAGTCATTGTCTATTTAAGTGATTGTGACATGGATGCTATTGATTATCCATTCCCCCTTTTTTGTATGTTTTCAGTTGTACCATATCCTGCTCTGAGATGGAAAGGGTAGAATTGCACGTGCTGTTGAAAATGGAGCACATCATGGATTTTTACAGCATTTGTACAGCACTGTTTCTGTTGGGTTTTTTTTTCCTCTGTTCCTCTCTTAATAATTCCTAGCATTCAATTTACTTTTTTGATTGCTACTGAGCATTGAGCTGACATTTTCATAGAACTATCTATTATAACCCCAAGATCTTTTTTCTGTGTGGTAATAACTAGTCAAGACCATCACTGTTTGCGTAAAATTATTTTTCCCATGTACATTACCTTACATTTATCTACAATGAATTTCATTTTTCATTTTATTATTAGTCACTCAGCATCCTGCATTCTTCAATGTTTTTTCCAGTTGGCCTTCATTTTTACTACCCTGAATAAAATCATATCACCAGCAAACTGTCATTTCACTGTTCATTTCTCTTTTTCTGATGGTGAATACTCAAGTCCTAGCACAGTTTCCTTTTGAGACTGCACTGAGAAAACTGATCATTTATTCCTGACCTTTGTTTCCTCTGTTTTAACCAATTATTTGGCCACAAGGGAAATTTTCTTTTTATTCAGTAACAGTGTAATTTCTATTAAAAAACTGCTGAGGAAGCTTTTTTAAGTTTTAGTACCTTGCATAACTAATAATAAATAAATAATAATTATCTTCCATAAACTTTGCTACCTCATTATTTATTCCTTGGGTAGTCTGAAAAATGAACTTTTCCAGAATGTTTTGTAATAGGGTAACAGACTCTATGACAAAACTAACAGCAATTCTGTTGTTGCTGCTTGTTACCAGCCTTTCGTAGTTACTGGTAATTATTATTGATATGTTAGCTTGCCTATATCTGGATAACATTAGTTGAGTAGAACTGGTGGTTTTGGACACTGAAAGTAAGTAGAGAGCTAATACAGAAAAGAAGCTTAGTAGGAATAGCCATTATTTTGACTGAGGGTATGCTGTTATTTGAACTTTCCATCAAAAGAAACATCTAATTAGATACTGTGATTGCACACCAACACTAGGAATAAAATTTCCAACTAATCAAGAAAGCAAAATTTGAATTTTACATTCTGTATTGTCAAAAAGGTGGTTGCCTAAATTGTGCATGATCTCCTATGCAGATGTACCTTTGTGAAATGTCATATACTTGAAACTATAAATAAGCTGATACAATCTCACCTTCAATTTGCAAATGCAGGCACCCATAATATAAATTTAAATATAGTTTCTTTTAATTATTTTCCTAAGTTCTGTGGTGCATTCTCAATTAAGAAGCCGATGATTTCATGATATTTTACCATTTCCATGATCTGTCAGTGCTTTGTTTCTTGTTAGACATGGGTATTTTCTGGCATATCACATGCTTGGTGTGATGGCACCAACAGGCTCTGCAACTTCTTCAACCTCCATCCCTCCTTGTGTGTTTAACTGGTTGCGTCAAAGGCCAGCTGTGAAATGGGGCAGTTGTGTAACCTTGGATCAGACATCTGTGAAAAGAGCTGTGAGAGAAAGAGCTGCAGGAAGCCTTGTCGGAGGTCTCCACCTCACCCATCCTCGGTGGGCGTGCTGGCCTGGGATCTGCATTTAAGCTCAGGCCCTTACCTTTGTTCTGTCCCTGGGCTATGCTTTTGGGTATGTTGTGTCTGGATGTATATCTTCTTGATCCTGGCCTTGACTTGCTGACTTGATTTCCTGGCCTGACCTGGGACCAGCCTCATCCTTACAGACTTGCTTGGTGATCACTGGTTTGTGAGTGACCATCACTGCACCTGCCCTGCTCCCCCTGCTCAGGTGCGGGGGGTCTGAGCCCCTGTTGGCCAGGCCCTAGCTGCTGGTTGCCATGCCATCACCGTTGGCTCCTGACTCCCCTGTCCTTCCCTTGCTGTGCTGCACCCTGGCACGTGAGCGTTCAAGATTTCTGGGTGTCGAGCTGTCCAGTCGTGGCTATTTCCCTAAGCATGCTGCTGTCTGTACAGAAATCTCAAACAAGCGTGCACATTCTCAGATTCCGCTGGGACAAAAAGGAGGAAACCAGAGCTGTGCTGGAGCTGATCAGTACAACTGACTTTTAATTTGTAAACATTTCTTCGTTTATTTGCTGAAATTGTGCTCAACTGGATCTGCTGCTCATACTGAAATTGTGCTCAACTGGATCTGCTGCTCATACTGAAGTAGGAAATGTGCCACCCATGCTTAGTTTTATGGAGCAGCTTCACCTCCCCTTATGTGCTTAGGCTTAAACCCAGAAGTCCCTGCCTGCAACTACAAATACGCCATTTCCAGCCAGTTGTTATCACTGCAGGTCACACTCAGTCCCTTCAATGAGGCGAAAAGAAGCTCAGGGTGGTGGTTTGCAGGGGATGTTATGGTTGGTGCATAGTGGTTTCCCCATGCACAGGGAGTACATTTTCAGGGAGACCTTTTCATACCCTTAGTCTTGAACACTTTGTTGATGTACAAGGTATCACTGTTTGTCTCCCATGTATCATTTGCCAAGCTTTCAGCAGTCTCATGAAATTGTCTTTTTTTCTTTTTGTTTCTGTGTTTTGCTGTCTGGCAGGGTCATCACAATTGTCTTTATCTCTTCTTGCTGCCTTCACTCCTCATTGTTAATACCATGCTAGCTTTAGTGTTGAAGTTTGTCTGAAAATCAGAGAGCAAACTGAAGGAGAGAAGAGTATATTATGAGAAGTAAGAGAAAAGTGAATCTTATGTAGCGGTCAGGAAAGGGAATGAGAAGGGGGAAAGGTAATTACAGATGTTAGCTGGGTAACAAGATAATGAAGGAAGAATTTGGGTGAAATACAAAAGTGAAGGTAAATGATGCTGGGGCTCAGAAAAGGGAAGGAGAAGATTCTTTCATGATAAAGATCGAAAGATAAAACCTAATAAACTATTTCACTACCCCATTCCAAATTCCAGAAATTTAAAATAGATCAAATACTTTTCTTTTTGCATTTTTGT